ACCACCCACACCCCATATCCGGTGTAAACCCGAAGGAATAAGACCGAGAGGCATGTGAATTGGAGCCACGTTTCATCAACCGAGCTGGCCCACATTCCCTCAAAGGCAAACACAAGCACGGTAGTTTGGGAATCAAGCGCACGCAACGCGGTGGTTGGGCCGTAGTGTGCTCCACACTGGATGGAACCAATCTTCCAGCCTAGCACGGTCACGAGGATCGCGCACCCCGTCTGCTCCAGCAACGATTCAGTCTCCTGGACCCAGTAATCAAGGTGGAGTGTTAGACCGGTATGCAACTTGTCAACATGCACACCAAGCGCAGCTACACCAGGGATTTTATGCAACGGCCAATCATTTAAAATGACAATATCAGATAATAGTTATCGAATAAAGCATACGGATATACCGACTTGAATCTTCGCTAAATAAGCAAACAAATCGAGATAAGTTCAAGAAATCAGAAAAAGATATTTTTTAAACGAACGCGAAAATGTTAACGAATATAACCACAATCTGCTTAAGCGACAAGTGCAAGTAAAAAGAAGCGCACTCAGACAGTCTTTTAAATCACTTAACAAAGTAAGCATTTACAAAATATAGCAAACCAATCACCTGAAATAAAGACACTCAGCATGCAATCGAATGCAGCGTAACTACAAACGCTGCGCCGGTTCTGCTTATGTCCTCAGCAGTATCCGTCGTCCATTCAATGCAGGTCCTGAGTGGCCTCGCTCGTGGCTCACTAGGTCTGCCTGAGTCAGGCACTCGCGACCGCATGCGCTACAGTACCATGCAGCACCAGTCTTAAAGAACACTTCGATTCGCGGATTCGAAGACACTTTGATGTCGAGAAACACGAGTACGGTGGGCCGTAAATATTTGCGAGGGTGAACGATTTTTATGTAAATCTGGGAAAGCGAATCTAGCTTTCACGAGTGCTAGTCAGTCTGTGAAGGATGACAGGAGGAAGTAATTTGGAGGCGATGGAGATCAGACTGATTCCTCTACGATTGCCGCATTCTGAATGTGAGCCTCTCTTGCAGATCGGGACAATAAGGGAGCGGATCCAGTACGTTAGGACAATTTCCTGCTCCCACACGTCCACTAGTAACTCGCGTGGACCATCAACAGGATTTACAGAGGGCTGGATGACGATCATCTGGTCTCGCGGCCTTATTCAACTTCAGCAGTCCGATCTCAATTTGAGTTCTGAGTGACAGGGTTGGCCAATGGGACAGCTCAGGGAGCAGGGCGATCACTGGTTGGCGAGAAAGCTCAGAATACCGGCTGATTAAATTGCGTATCAAAGTGCTCAGCCCACTGCTCCAAGCGTTGTGACAAGTTGTGATTAGGCTGTCCACTTTCGTCACGTATAGTTTCAGTAACACCAGGTCTCCTGCTGCCCGTTTCCCATATCAGACAAAACAACTTCCGATGGTTACCAAGGGAAGCGGTTGTTTCCATCTACGAGACACGATGAAACCACAAGAATACATGGTATATGTTCAGACTAGCATGAAGTTTTGCCCGTAGGTCTTTGCGAATCTTGTTGTGTTCGTTTCCAGCCGGAATGTGCTGGCGAGCATCGATAAATTCCAGAGACTGCGAAGAGACCCAATGTCTATATTGGCGATTAAACTTACCACATGAGGATTTACCTGCTGCTAGTAAGGTATGGTGAACTTGCAACCAGTAAGCTTCAACCCACATGCAAGCGTACTCCGATACGCATTCAGAAGATATGGTTGGCTGGTGACTTTGCACACACACCGTCATCACAGGCGTCCGCAAAATCGCATCCGCAGATCAGCACATACAAGTGCATGGTCAGTCTCCACACATGCGCTCCAAATTAAGCGTCAGTTCTGGACGCAGCCTCTTCAGCGGTAACTGATCGCAGTGATCGTTTTGCGTCCAAGGATGGTCTAAGTCAGGTGGGCGCCATGTCACTCTCAGGCAGGTGTTGTGTCGGAAGTGAGTGCTCGCAACAAATAAGCGAGTACCTTCACAAACATGAAGTAGCCGCTCACCGTTATTATTGCGGGAGCCTACACCGTGTTGGCCGCCCAGATGCAGTTCATCTGTGGACATTTGTCTAACTTGAGCGTTCGGATCTCCCGCCAGCACAACAGTGTCTGTGTTTCTTCCGTGGCGAAGGAGCTCGTTCAGTTGACGATAAAAGTCGTCTTTCAAAGATCCAGCGCTATAGTTACTGGGGGCATAGTTAACGATGACAATCAGGCACTTAGTAGCCCCGCGCGACTTCGAAGTTTTGAACGAGCCAGCCAATCGGACCGCACACATCCGGCTACTGATTGGAATCCAATCAACCAGAGCAGCTTCAGCCCGGGGACTCAGGGTAATGTTCAGACCGGCTTGACTGGTACTCGAAATTCCATCATCTCCGGATGGACGCAGTGAGAAAGCACCTTTAGTGTCACCTGAAGGGGATAGCAGAGTGAGCACGGAGCTCAAGTATTGCAGGCGGGTTTCCGATAAGCAGTAGATATCGACCGAGAGGGTCTCTAATGTTCGGGCAAGTGCAGCCTGTTGGCCGATCTGTAACAACGTGCGTACCTTGAGGCATGCCAATCTGAGGGAGGATCGAGGGCTCCAAATGAAAACAAAGTGAACTGGGCTTATCTGCTTCGTTGGACATGGGATTGTCGGCATGGAAGAAGTGACACTCCGCGTTTACATGTGAGTTGGAACTATACAATTTCTCAATTGATTGCAAATTTAACGCATGTCTAGTGCTGCATCCTTAGCGCAGAAACTATAATCCGAGTCACGAAAATTGCGTCCATGACGCCCTTAGTGAATCAGCTGTCCTCTGGCTTCAACTGGATACCTCAGGTGTTCAATGAAGCCATCCGCTCAACGTCGAACAATAAGAGATGGAAGCAGGGGCCTACCCCCAAACTGGTTCCAAAGCTGTGAAGGTTAGCACAGTTCCGGACGAACGCAAACGTAACAGTGAAAATGTACGGAACGCTGGATAGCGCCCCCTGGTTTGGTCGAGCGCGTTGCGAATGGAGTCAAAACGGTTTCACAAAGAGGGCTTGAGTGAACAAACGAGATGTCCGTTTGGGGCGAGCGGACAGCTGACTCACAGAGGGCGTCGTGGATGCAATTTTCGTAACTATCGGACTATGGCTTTTGCGCTAGGGATGCAAACTACTGCATCACGAATGAAAGCCATTGCGTTAAGGATGTAATCAATTACGAAATCGTACAGAACATAAAAGCCTAACAAAGCAAGGTGGGAGAGGGCTAAGAATTGGGGGAGGGGGGTTAAAAACGGGGGATAAAAGTGTACTTGGAACGGGACAATAAGGGTGAAACATGGTAAGAGGGGGGAACGCTTGAGCAGTGTCATCCAAACTCCTATCCATCGTGGTCGATGCAGTGACGGCCAAGAAATAGTACTTGCATTCTTAATCAGTCAGTCGGAGCGGACAGGTCTTCGGAAAGACGATCAGAACAGTGACCATAAGTGACACGAGTAGCAAAAGCCATTGGCGCTCCGTTTGGATCGTGTGACATTCAAAACGAAGCCTTACACAGGAAAATTATGCGGTGCAACGCTGATGCCATTTTACCACAGAGATAGCTGTCGATCCTGTTCTTCATTCATTTGCGGATTGTTGATAGTGTCTGATGGAAACACCGAACGAACAATACTGACATTCACCACCTAGTGCGTGGAAAATTTCATCCGGTGCAGTCCGTTGTTGCACTGGGATTGTCGGTGTCGACTTTGTCATTTCCTTCGAATACTTGTTGACCGTTTACGTAAGTGTGTATTGTTCATCATTGCCGTGGTTAGTGAAATGAACCCCCGGGCGGTCCACGATGAGAGCACATAAAGGCATTGACAAAAAGACGGTGAACCTGGCGATCTCCTCTTTTCAGATGGGGGTCACGGGAACTATGACATCAGTGGTCGCATAGCTTACCAACGTATGGATGTCGGTTGCAATCCTAAAGTGGCAGTGGTATCAGCTTGTACGGTTCGCAGGTCGGAGAGGAATGCCGACCGACGAACTTTGCTTAATCTTAGGATACGCGTCTACAGTTACGAATGTACTACGTAACCATGACAGTGGTTTAGTGTTTGACAATAAATGGAAGAAGAATGTCGGGGAAGGTGAAAGACTGTGTTCCATCCCACAAATTTTATTACCCTTCCATCACATTAGTATCACATGAGGAGCACGGAGACATGGGATCACCTCGAGGACGGCTAAACATGAAGCGCTGTTTGTACAAAGTAAGTATACTGCTAGCGAATAGATGAGGTCTCAAAAGTTACACCTAAGTAGCGATAACGTCAAACGAAGCTATCTTCACAGTAGTAGATTCGCTTCAGAAAATGTTTGTTGAAGCAGAAGCGATAGTGGCAGTGGGTAATCTAAGCAGGCCTCAAAAATGAGGTAACCAACCAGTTGCATACAAAGATTTGCGTTTCCGTAACATTTTTATTCTAACACACTGAATTTACATTCCGAAGCCGGTTATGAGAAATGACCCACCCAGAGGGATGTTATTATCTGCTTGATGTTTAAACAAGGTGTAAGGATGATGCACTCAACGAATTTCGAATGCGATCACTGAGAGTCCGAATTAAGCTGTGAAGGTGGTGTGCCAAAAATGGAACCGCTCAGGCATTAACTGACAAACCTAGCAATCTGTACCCAGGTTGTTAACAGATTTGGCAGCGTGTGGAAGAATGAATTTTGTAAATAAACTTGTGGTATAGAAAATCGTTCAGATATACGGCAATTAAACTTGGATTAACATAAACAGAACGTCGAGTGTTTTAATCAGAGACTAAAGTGGCCGCCATAGCCTTGAAAAAGGCAGACGAACAACAGATTAAGAATGGTCACTGAAATAATTGAAAAAGAACATCAAGCTCCGGCTGAAAAAAATGTAAAATGCATGCCTTTTGAATTTGCATCAAAATGCTAATCAAAGTAAACAACTACAAGGCTCACCTCGTCCAGTTTCACAAGCAGGCCGCGTTGGAGACTTCTGGTTAGCTGTGAGCGATGTAGCTGCCGTATGCACTTCTCGTGTATGTGCTGGGATCGATAAAGACCTTTCGTTTAGACTTCTCAGGCGACGAAGCAACAACTGACTAGTATCAGTGGAGTGAACTGGTCCAACAGAAGATTGATTGAATAACTGGGATAGTGGTCGCCTAAGACGTCGTGATCGAGAAGGTACTGTACCGCCGACTGAACAATCAACGTTATTGGAAGGTGTACACAGAGCAATCGAACTCGTAACTCTGACGTCGGCTGCCAATGAGAAAACGGGATCCGGTGTTGTCGGAGCCACGTCCCACACGCTGGTTGGCCCTATAGTTGGTTTCCAAAGCCTATCCGAGTACGTTCCCTTTACTGGACGTACCATGCTGAGCCCGTCCTGATTCGCAAACCGTAAGACAATGTACGAAGAGGTGTGTAAGTTTGGATGCAACCTGAACTTGTGAAAGAGGGCATACCTCACTAAATCATAATCAGCGAAATCCGGTGTTAGTTATCCAAACTGATACTCACTGAAACTTTCAGTAGACGTCAAAACATCTAAAGATGTCTCGACGTAACAAGTGAAAACACCTGGCTAATTTCATTCACGCAGTGGATTTCTGACAAGTCATAAGTTTAAAACATTAATACAAGGTCGCGTATTTAAACAATTCAGGTGGAATGAGGTACGTACCACAAAGAAGTGTAAACGGTGACGTGCTGAACAAAGTGCATCACACCAAGCTTAGAGAAATCACTGCTAACTCAAAAATACACTCAAAGACTCCCACCGGAAAATAGCAGGACTTCGGCCGAGGTGGGAGGACGACAGGAGCCGGAACATCAGCATACGCCTGGAGCAATGGCGTGGGATAACGCATATCGGGTGTATATCCTTTTGTGGTGCCAAGAATGCGATTTGAGCTGACTTGCTCGGGTTGTGTGGAATGAGAAACAGCCATCAGCGGGCCATCTGACCGAGCTGAGACTGTATGATGAGATGTTTTTGGAGGCGGTGGTCTTGGGGGTTTTGGTTTAGAGTATGCAGGATCATCAAAATTCGATGGAGATGGAATGTCGCGCACCGTACTTGGCTCTCGCACCGCTGCGATACGAGAGCGTTGGGTAGAAGGGACGGGGGCAGGAGATCCGAGATCGCGAAGCTCTGGAGGGCAGCTAAAGTGGAACGATTGAAATGTTAGCAGGCACAAACCAGTTAAAAAGTAATCAAAAGTGGCAACCGTACATAAAACCGTGGAAGAGAAAGAGCAGAGGAAAAGTGGATATGGGCAACAGGACATCTACAGACGTTAAAGGCAAGTGAATCAGCACGGATGATGGATCGGCATACTGACGATAAACGGTAAAGGGCGGACATCAGTGTCACCTATTAGTTGGCCCAAGAGACATGAGCGTTGATTCACGAGTTCCATGCTCATACTGGGACTATCTCTTTCGTGCTGGATGAGTTACGACGCCGCACTTTCTTTCATCGACTTGTAAGCCTTACACCACAGACCACACGGATTATCACGATCAATGTAAGTCACCTCACCTACGCAGAACAACTTCGTAATGGGACGACAATCAGTCACACATACACGTGGGTAACTGGACCAATAGACCAATTGTACATGGAAAATTGATAAAGTATGTACGATATTAAGTAAGCCTTTACAAGACGATTGCAGGACTACACTACAACTTGTGAAGTACCAACCGACGAAGTTTTGTCTTTTATGGTCGTTGCTTGGAAACGATACTATTGTCCAAAGTACTAACGATTCATCCAGAAACACAACCCGAATGCTTAACATCATCGTAGTTTGGTGGCTCTCAACCGTTTCTGAGCTCCTATCAGCGTGGCTGTGGATGAAATTTCTCATACAACGGCAGCCAGTTGGAAATTGAGTCCGCATCGCGTATGTCATGGAAGTTTCTGGGATCGGACCACATGCTTTTTTGGTATGCTGGGAACTCTCACCATCGATGGTGGTTACCTCACTGGGAGCTGTTTAGAGGGCTGCAGTGCGACGCTACGGTTGGTCTCGCCATTTGCAAGTTTCATAGCTACAATCGCACAACACGTTCATGAAACGCGACTACCGAAGTCACAAGTCATGATGGTGTAGAGAATGCGTCAAGTGTACGCACACAGGAACTGCAGTTATAACTAAAATGATAAAGTAGACGGGTACATTGATGATTAGAGTACGCTCCCTTCAGTGGAACGAACATGTGTATAGCGCGTTTTATCAGCACTTTATTTATGAACTTGTGCTCAGTATGGATGGTTTGTGGAATATGTAATAAACAACACACATAAGTGCACTCGTGTTGAAGTATGACTACATCTGGCATGGAAAGGAAAGTTTTTAGGTGAGATCTAAACGCAAGCAGGCTCTCGCTGGTCCTTAATCGCAACGGTAACTTATTCCACAGATGCCTACTACAAGAGACCACTCAAAATATCCGCTTAAATGTCCTTTTGGTGTGGAATAAGCTACCGGTTCCACTTGCGCATCGCTACGCTACATACTAACGCACTAATGATGTCACGACGACTGGTCACGAAACGTTTGCAACAAAATTGCCAATCTCAAAGAGCAATCTATGTAACAAATGAACAATCCGAGCCTCTCGACATGGTCTGCAGAGGTTAACCTTCCGATCAACCCTGCCAAGTCGCAATGTATGAGGTTGGGTAAGTGTGAGCACAGCCGAACGTACACAGTGGCTGGTCAACAGTTGCATCCCGCGCCTTTCGTGCGCGACCTCGGTGTGCTCTCACACTGCGACCTAAAGTCCATTGACAATACGAATAGGCTGTATCAAAACAGCCTTCGGATGCTTTGGGCGCTGAGGCGCAGCTTCAGCAATTGGTCCGAAGAGACTGCTACTCGCCTCTTCGTCCCGATAATACGACCAATGCTAGAGTATGGCTCTCCCGCGTATTGTCCCATCATCCTGAGCGAGGTAGAAGAGCTTGAACGGGTGCAGCATGTAGCCACCAGCTTACGAAGTATGCCATACGAAGACCGATGTAAGAAACTAGGGCTGTACACCCTAGCTTATCGTGGTATGCGGATTGACCTCATCATGACACACCGGATATTACATCTGAATGCTTACCCCATGTTGAGACAACTACTTCATCTGCGCACACCAAGCTGCACGCGAGGACACCGGTATCGTACCGAAGTTGAAGTGGGTCGCTCATCAACTCTGTTTCGAACGCAGTGGTGAATGTCTGGAACGACCTGCCGCAGCACATAGTAGAGGCGAACTCAGTGTCCGAATTTAAGAAGCTCCTAGACAAACACTGCAGAGGCAAAATTTACAGAGCGAAAGGATAAATAAGGAGTACATGTCTAAGAGCGACGAATGATGCAGCTACACAGAGAAAGCTCTACTCGCTACTTCGAACCAGTATTCAAACTTAGCCCTTCTTGCCGGCTACGCGAGGTTTACCGTCTTGTCTTACTGCATATTACAATGGCACTTCTTAGAAAATATTTGGACAGAATCGTGTTGACTCACAAGAAGGAGTTTAGATTAGTCAACGGATGGGCCAATGCACGAAATACGAAAGTCCACATGACACATAGAACAGCTAACAGCATTTATATCCGACAATTTCACAATAAGTATCGCAGGGTATTTGCTTCGTCATTACTAACAGGGTAGCAAATCTAGTGATGATATGGACAAATGGAAAACAACATTAAAAGCAAAGCAGGCACACATCCATCAGAAATAAAATCATAATCGGAAAAGATGATGCTTTTGAAAGAGAACAAAGGAACTGCTATACACAGACTAATACCTGGAGCAAACCGGATTAGCAACGGAGTGAGAGAAGTCTACCCGATGAGGATCGTGAAGAAATAATTCCGGGTTGCAATCCTTGACAGTATAAGTCACCACAGCGACTAATCAGTGCTCTAATCCTAAGTATTGTCACTGAGTCTTCAAATTAAATCGCGTCGAACCAACCTTTTATTAAGATCCAGTCGTATTAAGAGATGGCACAACCTCTACTACTCGTCTAGTGTTATTTGCAATTATTAGGCGTGAGTGCTGAGGAGAACAACCGGTGACGTAAAAAAAGAACATTAAGAATGTCACCTCAAGTTTGGTGTCAGCAGGATCTGTCCGTCTTCCAGCGTGGGGACCACGTGATGGGGACACCAAATAGTTGGAGACTTTGGAGGCTATCGCTCGCAATCGAAATCAGTCGCGCTAATGCTGTTCTAACAGTTGTCTTTCGTCCAAAATCCAGTTTTAACGAAGGAAAAATTTCGACGGCCAGTGTTAGGCAATAAAAAACATAACTGTTAAGATTGAGGGACGCCTGATAAGATTGTCACTGGCACGTCTACGATAACGGCTGGGAACGCTGGTCAATCGAACGGATTTGCGCTGACGTGATGGCGTTAGATTAGCCCGGGGTACGCGCTAGTGAGACGGAAATTGAACGAGCGTGAGAACCGTCCTAGCTGCACGTATTCGGGTACACACTGAGCCCTTGTAACGGACGAAGCTACACACACGAGGGACAAGGGGTGTTACGGTAGACGCGCGCTTAATAGATTAGACGCAAACGTTGCCCGGCTATCGACGCACACAAAATCACGTGACCCAACCGATTCCCAACTAACGGCGAAGAGAAAAAAAGGCAAGTGGTCCCCTGGAGACTCTTTTACGACCAACAAAGGGTGAATCACATCCAAAACTATGGGTTATTAAGTAAGTGAAAATTGCTACCGCAGTGGTGGTAGTTTGTGAAAGAACATTGTCAAACTGTGCGCAGCTGTGCCGCGTCTCGGAGCGGCTGAAAACTGCTACGTTATGGGGAGGAATTGGACTCCGCCCTCCACAGCCATTACGTCGGAGTTTGTGGCGTTTTCGCGGGGATATTTGACGGCCCCGCAACAATAAACCTTTCCATTGTTTGCTGAACAAAAAGGTTTACATCCTATATGAGTCATAGTTCAGATGTCACATATGACTATTGATATATATATATATATATATATATATATATATATATAAGGTTGGCGGCATCCAGTTTCCAATTTGCCTGTCATTGTGACTTCCAAAGGACGCCTGCGCTTACAGAAGGACCATGGGTGTCTTGCGCTGAACCACCCACACCCCATATCCAGTGTAAACCCGAAGGAATAAGACCGGGAAACATGTGGATAGGAGCCACGTTCCTTCAACGGAGCCGGCCCACACTCCTTCACAGGCAAACACAACCACACAGTATTTGGGAAATTATGCGCACATAAAGCGGCGGTTGGACCGTGGTCCGCTCAACGCTGAATGCATGGAACCACACTTCTAGCCTAGCACGGCCACAAGGACCGTGCACCTCGTCCTCTCCAGCAACGAGCAACTGTCTCCTGGAGCCAGTATGGACGAAACAGTGGGTAATAGACAGGTAGGTACCTTGTAAACATTCACATCAGGCGCATCCACACCGGTGAGCCCGAACAACATCTACACCTGAAACGCAAGATTACTCAGCACGCAGACAAACGTACAACATACACCGCCTTATTGGCCTGAATGAGTAAGTCCGCGTGCAATAGTGTCTCCTCCTGCACCTGAGCAGCCGCCCTTTTTAGTAGTCCACGGAATTCGCGTCGATCAAAATTTGCCTTGAATTCTTAATACCTGTAATCAACATGAGTTTGTCATAAACTCACCTTCTTCATGTTCTGATAATGTTATTTTCGGTTTGCTCGAGTACCGTTTCCCCACACTAAGTTGGCCGTACAAAAGCGGTATGAGTATCTTCGTCGAATTCATTCGATATACATATATACGTAGATTGGCGTCATCCGTGTCCAATGGCAGCTCGAATACAACATATGCACATGCGTTTATCCAAACTGAAGTGTGAGCTATCACAAGCTGGACAGAGACACATTAGACCTCATGTACAATGGTACTACAAACATGTATAGGTTTCGTTTGGAGGTCAGGCTAGCAGCCACTTTCGCAGGCATGAGATAAGTACCCATTAGGAACCGTTGATGTTTTCTTTAACATTTAGACGTGACAGCCTTAAATCTTGGGCATCCATATTTGAAGGAACCCGATATAGCAATAGTGAAGCAACTGCTAGGTAGAATGATAAATAAACAAGTGGTACAGTAAAATAGTGT